GACAATGCTTACGTAGATTCTCAGTCATCCAGGTGCTAGTTGTTTTCTCTCTCTCTCTCTCTCTCCCCCTCCCTCCCTCTCTCAGAAAGAACCAAGGACCCACTACCTTCCTCCTCCTCCTCCTCCTCCCCCCCCTCCTCCCTCTCTCCAACCCCCCCTCCCTTCTAGCAGTGATGCTGTTCCCTAGTTGGGTCATGAAACGTCTGCAAGAAAACAAGCAAGCTCAGAGAGCACCAGGGACCACACGGTCCTTCCTTCCTTCCTCCCTCCCTTCCTTCCTTCCTTCCTTCCTTCCTTCCTTCCTTCCTTCCTTCCTTCCTTCCCTCCCTTCCTCTTCCTCCTCCCTTCTAGCACTGAAGATGTTACCTAGTTGGGTCATGAAACGTCTGCAAGAAAACCACCCAGCTCAGAGAGCACCAGGGACCCCCACAGTCTTCCTCCTCCTCCTCCCCCCTTTTGGCACTGATGATGTTCCCTAGTTGGGTCATGAAATGTCTGAAAGAAAAGAGCCAAGCTCAGAGAGCACCAAGGACCCCCCAGTCTTCCTCCTCCTCCTCCTCCCCCTCCCCACAAACCACACTCCCTTCTAGCACTGATGGTGTTCCCTACTTGGGTCATGAAACATGTGCAAGAAAGTCACCCAGCTCAGAGAGCACCAAAGACCCTACAGTCCTCCTCCTCCTCCTCCCTTCTAGCATTGATGAGGTTCCCTAGTTGGGTCGTGAAAGGTCTGCAAGAAAACCACCCAGCTCAGAGAGCCCCAAGGAACCCACAGTTCTTCCTTCCTTCCTTCCTTCCTTCCTTCCTTCCTTCCTTCCTTCTAGCACTGATGACGTCACCTAGTTGGGTCATGAAACGTCTGCAAGGAAACCACCCAGCTCAGAGAGCACCCAGGACCCCACAGTTCAACTCCGATCTGCAAATATTCTCTTCCATCAGGATCTTTCCACCGATTTAACCAGCACTATCCGTTTTCACCAGGACGGAAGGATCAAAAATGCTTCTTCGGCCTCTTAAACCGATCCCAGAACCCACCCAGGAGTTTTTCCCGTGGTGGGAACGACTGTGACAGAAGTTTTTTTTTTTTTTAAAAAAAAACAACAACAAAAGCCACGGAGCCCATTTTGGCCGCTGCCGTCCGTGGAGGCGGAAGACACCCCATCCGTCCTGATGTTTCAATATGGAGCAATAACTTCTGGGCCGATCCCAGAGGAATCTCCTTTGCCGGGCTGAACGGGGAGCACCATGCCTGCCGCTGCCCCCCCAGGCTCTGCATATATCACCCGCCTCCCCCGCCTATACATCTATGTCTTCCTGAATATATAGGCCAATTCTTTTCTCCCCCGCTTTTTTATGTCTGCAGAAAAGGGACAGAGGCATCCGAGGGCTTCTTGCCAGATATATTATCCGAGGTGACTGACAGGCGGACCCCGTCAGAGAACGGTCGCGTGATTTCCATCAGCTTTACGAACTGCCGGTGTATTGAATCGGCTTCTTTCTTCCTCCCTTATTCCAAAATTCGAGACATTTATGCCGAAGCCAACAAAATGGGTGTTGGTTGCGTATTTGGGCATTTAGAGAATAATAATAATAATAATAATAATAATAATAATAATAATAATAATAATAATAATAATAATAATAAAGTTGGAAGGGACCACGGAGGTCATCTAGTCCAACCCCCTGCTCAGGCAGGAAACCCTATACCATTTCAGACAAATGGCTGTCCAGTCTTTTAGAATAGAATAGAGCTGGAAGGGACCTTGGAGGTCATCTAGTCCAACCCCCTGCTCAGGCAGGAAACCCTATCCCATTTCGGACAAATGGCTGTCCAATTTCTTCTTAAAAACTTCCAGTGTTGGAGCATTCACTTCTGGAGGCAGGTAGTTCCACTGGTTAATTGTTCTAACTGTCAGGAAGTTTCTCCTTAGTTCTAATTTGCTTCTCTCCTTGATCAGTTTCCACCCATTGAAGCGGGACGGATGTAGCTGGTGGTCCAAGGTGCAGCGGAGAACAGAACCTCGTCAGCAAACATGCTTGGAACCAACTGATTGGTTCAAAATTGGGAAAGGAGTCTGGCAAGGCTGTATTCTGTCGCCCTGCCTATTTAACTTATATGCAGAGCACATCGTGAGGGAGGCAGGGCTAGATGAATCAAAAGTTGGAATTAAGATTGCTGGGAGAAATATCAACAACCTAAGATATGCAGATGATACCACTCTAATGGCAGAAAGTGAAGAGGAACTAAAGAGCCTCTTGATGTGGGTGAAGAAGGAGAGGGCAAAAGTTAGCTTGAAACTTTCATCCATTTCTCTCTCTCTCTCTCTCCACCCCCTCTCTCTCTACTACCTACCTCATCCATTTATCCATCCATCCATCCATCCCTATCTACCCATCTATCAATTCATCTATCCTTCTATATCTATCTATCTATCTATCTATCTATCTATCTATCTATCTATCTATCTATCTATCTATCTATCTATCTATCTATCTATCT